GCAGGGGGGGGGGGGGGGGACTTTTCAAAAGTGCCCTTTACCTCTGTGAAAAATGTCATTCAGATTGCATTTTTTGCCAAATAGCCTTTCATGTTTGATTGCATTTGTTTTTGTATTTTGGTATGTCCTGAAAAATTCTGTTATTTTCAGTTATGTGTGTGGAAAAATTGTCATTTTCAGGAAAAAATATATCTCCAGAAAATGTTGTCATTTTGGGGAAAAAATGGGATATCTCTGGAAAATTTTTTTCGAGATGACCTCATTTCCGGGAAAAATATTTAGGTGCCCTTTTTATTCGATGCAAAGATGCTTTAATTTTTTTTAGATGCTTCCTATGCTCCTGATAAAGTAAAGCACATTAGGGTGCAATGCAAAATTACTAGATATTGAAAAACAACATTCACCAATAGTAAAAAGCAATTTCAGTGTATTTATAAAATAATTTACACAATTTTCACTGATCACACTCTACAAATTCTAGTCATACTTGTCATTAAATTAGCTGGAATCAATTGCTCTTGTCCAAAACAAATGGTGAAAAAAAGGTTGTCCTAGGTCCCAACCTCCTAAGAGCACCTTCCGTCTGAATAGACTTCAAATCTACAGCAATAATTACCACAGACTGCTACCTCTTGGTCTCAGACAGGTATTCATATACACATGTACTCTTCATAACCCAAAAAGAAACACCAATGGGTCAACCATTAACATCGAATTTTTTCAAATTATGCTACCATTAACATCAAAATTTTCTTTTCAAATTATGCTTGTAGTCACCACCTAGGGCCATATTTACCACCAAAAAACATCTTTTTTCTGAGCATGGATATACTGTATATTCCACCATTTTTTCTTCATCTTCCAACTACCCAGGTACAGCCAGCCGTTACTTATAATTTTATCATTCCATATTAGTACAGCAATATTTGATATGAGCAATGAACAATGACAATTTTTGAGGCACACTCATCTGACAGCATGAGGGGTGCATTGTTAGTGTCTCATTGCCTCCCAAATTAACAGAAACCAATCAAATGCTCAGTTTAGAAACTGGTTGAGAATTACATTATGAACTTTTAAACTTTGTAGCAAATTCACATAATGTATAGGCTAAAGTTAGTTGAAATGTATTGTAAAAATAGGATCGCAGAGCAATTAAAAAAATATATATAATATAGTATAGAGAAAAGAACATAGTGGAAGGTTGTTTCAATGAATCTTAACAGAAGACCATGTTACACAAGGCAATTTTTCGAGCAAGTTGCAATGACATTAAGGCTCCGTTTACACTATACCGGATTGCATCGGAGCGTAGCGATTTTTAGCCGGATTCGGCTGCTGTTTACATTACGCCAGTAACGTAACCGGTACGCGACGCGGACTCCGCTTTGGAGGTGATATGAAAAGTAATCCGGTATGTGCCGGAGCAGTGTAAACAGGCTAATCCGGTATGCTTCAGTACAAAATCGGTTTTGGCGTGTATGTTTTAACATTGTCGCCTTTATTTGCTCGCTTTTACAATACTTTATAGCCGTTGTTTGTTTCGCCTTGCAACCATTTACTATTTCTGGCGAATACAAATAAAGGAAACGATAATAACATTGACTTTTCGCTTTCGAAAGAGCAAAATTTAAATTAATACTCTGAAATTTTGGATTAGAGCGAAACGAAGCAACGTCTGGTGGTCAAGCTTTTTAAACAAAGTTATACTTTACAAAGAAAACGGGTGTCACTTCTTGTTTTTAATAAATTTTGGTGTATTGGCTACTTGTTTCCATGGCGACAGTGAAAGACATGAGCTGGCAACAGAGCAAAGCGGCATAGTGTAAACACCCTTGATTTTTTACTTCGGAGTAAAAATTAATCCGGTATGAAAAGTAATCCGGTATAGTGTAAACAGGGCCTTATTTCAGACACACAGCCAAGTTACGTGTTTCTAGAAAAGCACTCAAATAAACTTTAAAGCAGTTTCACATGACATTAGAAGGTTGATATAGCAATAGTTGTTGTTGACATTTAAGAATAGTCACTACTTCATTATCAGAAACATCAACTGAATAAAGACCATCAATGTGATCGTGTATAATTATAAAATTTGCAAGTCATGATTGAGTTTGGCAAGCTTTGTTCAGTTGTCAATGTTTCTGATATTGAATTGGTGATGTCAAAAACAACTATTGCTAGGTTGGTTGTGTAACATGTAAAACTGCTGTAACTATGATAATGTGCTCAGGGCTATCGGGACACAGCAAATTTCAAGCCATGCTGCTCACACATTACTAAGCTCATAAATTTTCTAATTCTTTTCACACAAGAACATCCCATGACAAATTGCCTGGTGTAACATGGCAGACACACACATTTCCTTTTTATTTGAAGGAAGGTTTAAAAGCACCAGTTGACTAGTTATAATACTCCCTTTTGCATACTACCTCACATACATAACCACATATTACAGACAGTTCATGCCACATCTGTTAGATTTCAACCATTCTCACTCCAGGAATGGAAGAGTGCTTGGAAGAAAAATGTTTAACATTCTGTCAAAAAAATGTCAATAACCTTTCCCATGTGCCAGACTGCAGAGTTGGTCAATGTCGCACCCGATATTTTTTTAGGAAGAAATTTCAGCACGCCTGGGGTGTACTGCCCTCAAATCTCTAATTTTCATTGTTTTTAACATGCATCTCACAACTTTTGTGCCCTTGACTGCATCTTAATGCGCACTTGGAAACTGTTTTGCGCACCTGCTCTTCGATTTTCTAATATTTGCGCACCAGAGATCTCGTCAAAAAGTGCCCAACTCTGCAGTCCGGCCCATGTGCATGCAAGGGGGCAGTTGGAATAAGGACTACCCTTCCCAATACTTTCATGCTATAATGTTGTTTTTTTCCTTTCAACCATTAAAACTTGACAACCTATTATAAACTGCAGTATATAATAAGGCCAAAAAAGGTTCAAGGTTGGAAATTTAGAGGTTCTTTGTTTGGAATAAATTTGCACTTCCAGTATGTCAAAACATTCCAGTTTGTCAAACAGAACTTGAAACTTATGCTTGTAACATTTGCAATCAAGTAGTTGTGCCAAACATTATGACATTTTTGCCAAACACTCAACCTGTTTTCTTAGTGTTGTAAATTCCATTTCATTCAATACTCTCTTCTGGAAAGTGCAGAGGCTTTAGCTGTGCAACCTTGTATTCGTGATTTGAGATATTGGGTTTAGAGCCCTTTATCTTGGTACAAATGGACACATTTACAAAATCATACAGTTAAATTAGATGGTGTGGGGACCTTCGGTGGTCTGTGCCAAGATAAAGGGCTCTAAAGACGATATCTCAATCCCGAAAATGAGGCTCTCTAGCCAAGTACAAGGCTAAGGGTCCCTTAGGTCTATTGAAAAAAAAATCCAGACTCTCCTTCCACTTGTGATAATAATTAAGTACTAGGGGGCATCTGAACAGGAGAAGGAGTTAACATGCAATTTCTTCTATGGGGGAAGTAAATCCGCCCATGGTTATAACAAATATGCACAATTTACTATATGCAGGGATAAAATTATACGGATACAATTAAATAACAAAATATTTACCATTTATAAGGGTTTAATCTTTGTAATTATTCACAATAGCTCTTTGGTGACCTGTAACAGAAAAAATAATCTTTCGAGTGGTGACATTTTGAATTTACACAAGAAAAAAAAGCAGACTATAGGTTTTAAATTGTTTTTCTTTTTATACAAATCTTGACAACTTAGCTACTTCATGCTGATAAGCAAAACTACAAATTACATAATGAATTTCTACTATGAGAAAAATACTAAATTCTTTTTTGTACATTTTTACAATTCTTGGTTTTTGAATTTTTGAATCAAAGTGAGCTGTGAACGCAATGAACGCTTTGCGCAAATGCATGTTACCATTCCATAATCACTATATACAATACTGTCAAATTACAAACAATTTGACATTCACGTCTTCGCCTATGCTTTCCAGTTGTAATTTACAATCAGGTAAAAATACCCACAATTTAAAATCTTGAATTGTCGTAATGTAATTGGTATACTGACAATTTTCCCACCAAAATTTTTCTTGAACAAACTCAATCTTGTGCCATTTTGTTGCAATGATGACAGAACTCGATCGAAACCTTGCTCTGTTTTACATGAAGACAAACACCACCTGATGCAGTTGAGCTACTTCTACTTTGTTTGGCATTTGAAGCTGGCTGAGGATCACAAGCTCGTTTCCTGGAAGCAGATCGTGTTGAAACCGGGTTTTCTTTTTCACAATCGTTATCCTTTAACGAGGATTCCCTAGATGAACAGAAAGAAGTAGACAATGAAACGCCGGGCGTCTTCGATACATTTTCAATTAGCTTCGATAACATGCTTTGATTGGCCAGAACGTTTTTCAAATAATCGACTTCGTTTTCCAGCTTGTTAACTTTCTTCTCCAATCTGTTCGACTTTCCCATCAGTGCATTCTTCTCATTCCGAAGTTGGCCAACCTCTTTTTCGAGACCCTCAACATAAATTTTCTTCTTTCTTCGATTTTCTTTGGCATTCTCCGCATTCTTTCTGTTTCGTCCTAATTCGTCTGTACAGGTTGTAGCCGTTTTACCAACAGGAGGTTTTGCTGTATTTGTCATTGCCTTATCAACTTTAGCAGTTTCCACAGAACTGTTGGTGAAATTCTTAGTAAAATTTACAATTCCCTCCATCTCAGATTCAAGTCCAAAATCATCGTCTAACAAAAAATTCAAAAGATCATCACCTTCTCCGCCGAAACCTTGGACCAAATCGTTGGCAAAGGAGTCAATTCCGCTGTCACAGCTGTAGGCTGGTGAAAGGCAAAGCGAGTCCACTTTGTTCATTTCAGCATCTATGCTTTTAGGGGAAGATGAATTTATGAGGTTATCTACCACGAAATCGATGTCTTTTTCGTCTTGTAGGTTCGAAGAACAATAATCATGATCATGGCTTACGCTTGCGTCGGTATTTGTCATATTTTCTAGGCTCAAAAAGTACGAAATTTAGCAACAAAATTTAACTTGCCTTCCTCGTTCTTCTCCAAAACTCAAAACCTCAAAACGTACAAACGACGTTCGTTTGTTTCGTTTCCCGTCTCAAGGTCATGTGACATACCCCGTGATCATTTTCCACCAATCAGAATCTCGAAATCAAACTCGCTTCAATCCCCTCGCGGTTGTTCAACTCTTTCCGACTATCTTCCATCTCTCAAAATACTATGACGTAATTTAAATAGATATTTTATTCATTTTTTTATCACATTTGAACTATTTTGAAGTCTTTGAACAATATTTTTCCAAGGCTTTTTGGGGTTTTTATCCAACTTACTATACATTTTCAGTAACAAATTCTAAAAATAGTTAATATTCACACATTTTAAACATTAAATGCCAGATTTACAGTTATTCGGTATTTTGCAAATTATGACGTCATTCAGACGTCTGACAGATTGAATTAAGGTGACGATTTATTTACGAAAGCGTTACGACTACCTTACGAATCTGTTACGTCACTGTACGATGCCAAAAAATGGCGCTCCCACGAACGAATTTATTTTTCCGAGCTGTTTGGTCAGTTTTGTATAGAAAGAGAATGGTTAGGGTATTTTATTGCACTGGGGAAGAGGGTGTTGGAAACGATGGATTGTATACAAATAGTGAACATACAAGGTGATATGATAATTTGTATGTGAAAGCTAGAAGTGTAGTCCATGGGGGTGCCACACCCTAAAGAGCCCCCCCCAGATAAATTGGGTTTGAAATAGACAAGAGTTTTTTTATTAAGGAAAAGGACCAAGTCTAGCTGTTGGTACTAGCCATATCTATGGTACTAACTTACTTTACCAGATGAAGTACCTGGGGTCCTGGGACCCAACTGCCCTCCCCCTCACTAAAGACCCTAAAAGAATATCAGCATCACATCTATACTGTCATGCCTTTTAAGTGTTTGTGTGTCTCAAATGTCATCTTTTAACATCATCATTTTCAAAATGTTACAATGCCACTGGACTATAATGTGAACATATAAAAGGCCTGTTTACACTTGCAATTCTTGCAGCGATTTCTAGTGCGATTTTCTTCTTCTGATGGATGTGAACGAGTAAATAAGTTATGAATGCTCTTGGTATATATGTACCCACATCTAAACATTCCTAACTCATCCACTCATTCACATCCATCAGGAGAAGAAAATCGCACCTAAAATCGCAGCAAAAATTGCAAGTGTAAATGGGCCTTAATTAAGGTGTATCCCACAAAAAAATGTTTGGACAGGGCCTAATACTCTCCCCCATCCTGATTGAGGTAGTCTATGACTGTGAATCGTTTCAGAATTGATCCTTTCCGAGGAGCATCTCAAGAAGCTTTTCCTGAAAAAATTTCCACAATTTTAATGGCTCCAATAAATCAAGATGACATTGAAATCAAGCCAGATGGTAAGGATGGTCAATGGAAAATATATTTTTGGTATAATTATAGTTTGTACTTAGGGACCGTTCATTAATTATACGTCAGGGTGGGCTGGAGGAAAAAGAGCAGAAACGGTGCATGTTTTTCCATGACCCCCACCAGGTGTTAATTTTCATGACCCCTTCTAACCCAGCTAATTTCAGTCACAACCCCTATTTATTTTCACCAAGTCAGACAAATTTTCCTAAAATGTTGGGGGGGGGGGAGAGGGGGAGGTAAAAAAAATTTCCGGACAAACATAAGCATAGTCTAAACATTTTTCCAGACTAACATAAGCATATTCAAACGCTTCCAATTTCTTCACCACAAACATTGCAAAAGCTTTAAAACTGTTAAAATTGCAAACCATTTCATCAAATGGTTTTGGTTGTGAAGGCTTAATATTTGAAACTGGCCAACCTAAAATATTAATAATTACCACAAATAATTTTGGCAAACCCCCCCTTTCATGCTGAAAACACTTTAAAGGCCCCCCTTTCTAACCATAAGTTGTTTGGCAACCCCCCCCTTAATTTTCCTCCAGCCCCCCCCCCTGGTCCTTAATTAATGAACGGTCCCTTAGTAATATCTTTAATTCCTTACTAATAGGTCTCCTTTACTTGCCTGAGATCAAATATCGAAGAATTTTGAATCAATCGTTTGGACCAGGTGGCTGGGCATTGTTACCCAGAGGTGAATCACTCCAATTTCAGGTTTGTTGAAATAACACAAGTGAGATAAGCACAAAAAATGGAATTTAAGCTTCTTTTTCTTTGTGCTTATATCATATCATACAAATCGGGATTAATCTCTGGCAAAAATTATAAAAGGTCAAATTTTGCAGAATGAAAAAGACAAAAGTCAGCTAATCACAAGAGAGTATGCGTTATTCTGCAGTGGTCGCTATGCCTCTCAAGCTGTGGGAGAACACACATTCTATGGACAGGGAAATATGGTCTATGGCAAAGCAATGGAAGCAGCCAAGTCTAATGCATTAGTACGCTGCTGTAAAGATCTTGGCATTGCCAGCGAGCTGTGGGATCCAAAGGTACAGAGTGCCCTTTGCATGACAATTAGTAATAACACAGCTATCGTTCAATTTGAAATCCTTGGAGTGGGGTGTGGTTGCCCAGTGTCTGCCACTGAACAGATGGATGATATAGTGCTATCTGTGTTAGGCCTGGGGTGCATGGATTTAATGATTTAATGCAAAAGAAAATTCTATGGTACGATAAGGTGAAAGTGAAAAGAAATTAATATCGCTTTCATTCGACGGGACGTTGAAGCAAAGACCACATTTCTATTGCACAAAGCCCACCATGAAACATTTTAATATAAAGCGCGCGCACGTCATAAATTTGAATAAATTGAAGTTAATTTACCCAAAACGCAAAACGGATATGACGTAGGCCGGGCAAGCTTTTCTTCGTTTATTCGTAGACCCCTCACGAAACGTGTTTCTGCTGGGGTCTACACCGTAGGCTAGCATTAGACAAGCTATCCGGAAAATATGCGTGATATTTTCCTAGTATAAATTGCGCTTTTCTGGAAAGTTCGTTTTGTGTTTACTTTACACTAAGTCTAAGACGTATCATTTGTAAGACAGATTTATCCGTCTTTAGTATAATTATGGCAAGTATCAGCCATAGCAACTTGATAAACACAAACTTTTATAGAGTGACTCACTTTTTTACAGATCGAGTGGCTCTTTTATAAAGTGGCTCACTTTCTATTAGGGACCGGTCATTATTTATGGCGGGGGGTGGCACCGAAGAGAAAAGGGTTGGGTAAACTAAATTTTGAGTAATTAAAAGGTTTGGTAAATGAAAAACAAAACAACTCAAGGGTTGGGTAATAAAAAGTTATTGTCATTTCCAAAGCATGACTCACTTAAATATTGGAGACTGAAAAGCAATGTCAACAGTCATATGTCAATACAATATGTGAATCAATCAGAGTCACTATCTTGATCATTTTCCGATTTGTTGGGAGACAAATGGTGTCTCCAAAGAAAGTACATGTACATACAATATGAAAGTTTAGTTATCAAACTTGTGTCACAGAAGTGGTAAAGGACATGTGTGACAACTGAATGGTATTCTTTTGTAAAGGTTTTGGCCAGGGGTGGGTATTATTTTTTAATTGATACTTGAGGTTGGGTAATCAAATTTTTTGCTTTTTAATGGTTGGGTCAGCAAAATTTTTACCACGAAAAACATTTCTCTTCGGTGCCACCCCCCACCATAAATAATGACCGGTCCCTTATGCGGACGGATTCGTCATCGTGCGACTTCATCGCGTTGACCCTTCTACACGCGTAAAAATCTCACAACTTGTTGACAAGCCTGAACTGACAAGTTGCAATTGGTATAATCTTGTGACATGGTTGATGAGGCCAACAGACTCGCAACAAGTCTGATATCGTCTGCACGCAGTGCCGCCGAGAGGGGGGCCAGGGGGGGGGGGGCAAATTGCCCCGGGCCCCCAGGTTCTTGGGGCACCTAGAAATTTTTTGTTGGGCTCCAGTCATTTTTTTGGGTGAAATATTTCCGCGCAAAGGGCAAGATATTTGGGGTTTTGGGGGCAAAGTACGGAAATTTGGTATGAAAAATTGAAGTAAAGTCGCTTGAAAGCAATTACAATGCACTCGTCCGGAAAATTTTTTCCGTAAAAAGGGTTCGACGGGAGGGAGGGGGGGGGGGTTGTCCGAAAAAAATGTTAAATAGGGGACCCTAAAAAAATTTGCCCCGGTTCCCCGCCAAACTCTCGGCGGTCCTGTCTGCTCGTAACAAGTTGTCAAGAGTTGATGACAACAAGCTTGTAGCAACTTGTTACGAATATCTTGTATTAGTCTTGTTGGAACAACTGTAGCAAATCTGTTAGACTGTTACCGTCATCAACCTTGTAACAAGTTGTCGCAACAACTGGGAACAAGCAGTGCGAACACATCCTGATATCGGTTTGACAGTTGACAATATCCTTGTGACAACTTGTTTGCAGATATTAACAACTTGCGCGTTTTACGTATAAAACACGGTTCAACTTTATCAGAGAGGATCAACTTTACACTTTATGTTTTTATGCGTTCTAGTTTGTTTCTGACTGGAAAGAACAATTTGCAAAGTCGGTATGGTGCGAACACTCGTTCACAGCAGAAAAACGAAAATTATGGCTTCGAAGCGATCGCGATCCTGCAAAAGCTATCCCCTATCCTTGGAAAAGTATGGCTGCTAATCCGAAATAATAATGAGAACAAAAAAATTGTGAAGAGAACGAGAGAGTTGAAGTCTGGATGTGCCTGAGGTTGTGTGAGGATGAACTGACTAACGGCGGATTTCCATTCAATGCAAAATGTTGCGCGATCGACTTTTTGCGATCGCTTTCTTTTGAAATACAAACAGTCAAGCGCGGGAACAAATCTCATTAGCTGTAGTTGACTGCACACATTTCCGAAAAGAAAGCGATCGCAAAACATCGATCGTGCGACATTTTGCACTGAATGAAAATCGGCCTTAATATTCACATTATATTACGTTCAATCCAGTGTTCAATCTCGAACCTAGACTTGGATCAAGTCCGTCTCTCAAGAGTCCGACTCAGAACCCAGAGTATGCCGGTTCGCAGATTAGGTGCTGGGCATGCCCACTAGCTAACCTGCGAACGGGCATACTCTTACGAGATTGCCAGGCTGCTCCATTTACTCTAGAACATTTGGAACACTGTTCTGGAACGATATAAAATGGAGTGCACACGGTGTTCTGGAACAGTATTTAGTTTATTGTATATGCGTGCAACCATGCATTACTATATTCATTAGCTATTCCCATGATAAAGCGTATAATATGTCGATATATAGCAGTTAACCCTTCAAAATAACGCTCTATAGTGCAGTGTACATTACCGGATACACAAAATATGTCGTCTCCATTTCCAATCGCGTGAAAATAGGCAGTGTCACGTGTCTGTTCTGGCTGCCCCTACTCGAAAATCGGGGTAGTCAGAACAGTTCAGAACAGTCATGTACTCATGTGACTGTCTTCTGTTCCATTCCATTAGTGTTCCGAAAATCCGGAGTACTCCGAACAGTAAATGGAGCATTGACATTGTACTCCGAACAGTGAATGGAGTAGCTTGTGCATTACGTTGTGTTATTGAATATAACACACCGCTATAGCCAGATGTTGTATATAGTAAAGACCAGGGCCTTACGGCAAACTTCGTAACATCGTTGTAGTTTCTTACAGTTACCATATTTACTCGATTAAACGCCGCCCTCGTATAAACGCCGCCCTCATAGGACAGTGCACATTTCAGAAGAGGCATTAATTATAGCACTATGGTGGGCACGCAACGAGGCGGACAACTTATAATCCATTGTAAATATTAAATAAGTAATTTTCATTGCCAGTACGCAATTTCGGGAAGTGCCTAGAATGCCAGTCAACACAAAAGAATTGGTTTGAATTAAATTTATATTTTTCAGTTGATACGGTAGTGTATATTTCTATATGCAATTCTATTTGACATGCGCGTAATACTTCAAACACGGACCGGCAAGCACCAGTGACAGTTCATATCTAACAGGCGTCATCGCTTGACGCGGGTAAAACACATGCCATATGGTTTTGCTGCCACGCGTACGAGTGCCTATATAGCCTTATAGGCATGCAAATTATGTTGAAAGGTCGTCAAGAATACTAGAAAACCTATATATACATCAATTATTACCCTCATGTTGTTGTTAATATTTTTGATTATAATAAAAATATTTTGAACTTTATCAACTAACATTGTACAGAATGGAATTGTGTCGTTTAGTGCTTTATTGGTTTCAATGTTTTAACTTGGATGTGTGCCGTACATTTGGAGTCATCGGAGGCTGTTATATTTTGCACAGGCGTACACTGTTTGGCTACTTATAGGTTGTGTAATTTCTATGTCATCCAAACTTTGAGATAACAAATGCGGCGATTAAAATCACTTCTTTGTACGCGGAGTATGTTTTATATCAGGCTTTTAAAAGTAAGTACAAAATGTATTTTTATACGTCATTAATTATTGTTTGGAAGCAGCTGTAAGTTGAAGAAAATTAAATTGATTAACATGTATTGAAGTTTAATAGCAGTATATAAACCCGGTATATTGCTATTGGAATTTGTCCAGAAGTACAGTTGCCAAGTTACTGAGATCAAGGCACGTTGCACGAGTAAAAAAAGGTTTAATTTGGCAAAAAAGTTATTAGGACCGTCTGGGCCAAGGGCCGGTTGTTCAAAAGCCGATTAGCTTAAGTTAACTTAAAATTCAAAGCACAATTCCTAAAAGCTTGTTTATAAATTTGAAAATATTTCTTCACAAATCATGTCTGGTTCAATAGAATTTCTTTTCTGACATTTTGAAACACTGAAATGAACATGCAGAAATATGCAAACTAAAACAGCGGGTTAAATTTTAACCCTGGGTTAGCGCTAATCCACCTTTGAACAACCGGCCCCAAGGCTATATAGTATATTTGAGAAATGGCAAGCGAAAATAATTTTGGATTGGAAATTACATTCGAAATTCCATGTAAAAGCCCATGATGAAGTTATTTCGTAGCCTTTCACTGACCTCAGAATGACATTTCGTCAAAACTTTTCTTCAAGATTGGTTTAGAAACAAACTTGGAGTAGGGTTAGGTTAGAGTAAGGATTAGAGTTGGTGTTTGGAATAGGGTACTTAGTGTTAGTAAAATTTGTTACGTTTTGTCACTCTGAGGCCAGCGAAATAACCTCTTCCGCCTTTTCACATGGCCGATTTTCCCGCCATTTCCAGGGTACTACCTCTCCCACGTTTGAGTGTCTCTGGCTCTCTGCACCACGAAATACAACTTTTTAGTATTCAAACTGTTTTTATAATGGTAAATTTTCAGTTACAACTTCTAAAAGTCGCTTTTCACGTTGTTTGATTTGTCTAGAATCTTTTACGAGGGCAGACAGTACCCCAAAAATGGCGGATTTTGGCCTTCGTGAGAAAGGCTAATTGAGCGACGAGAAATAATCCTAATATGTATTATCCATATATATATATTATCATTTACCATGCATCACCTTAGTATATACAGCTATTTCAATTAAGGTTGTCCCCCAAGCAAAGCGGAAAAGTCGAATACGAGCGCGAAAGGCTGCTGGGAATCGCTATTAAATTCATTAATTTCGACTTTTCTACTTTGCTCGGGGGACAACCTTAATTGAAATAGCTGTATACATGAACCATAGATATATTATATACACTAGATAGCACATCTCTTTTAGTAAACTAGCCAAGAATATTCCAGCGGTTACCCCCATTTGAATAGATGGCGGCCATGTCGGTAGTTCCCACTCGCTAATAAACGCTTAAAAAACAACAATAACTTTCATCATTTGAATAGTTTGAAAATGTATTTGGAATAGGTTTAACTTAATGTTTAAATTCCCTGTTTAAGAAATAGAAAACATACGAGTCTTCTCATTTCATGGGAATATCCTGAGTCTGCAATCACGGCTTCAACTATGACATGAACTAGTTAGAGCTCAACGACTACTCTCTGCGGCGCTCGTCGGTTGTACGTGCCGACCGGAATCGCTCGCCGATTCGATTCCTGCCGAGCCTACAGTTTCATTTTTCGCAACTGTTCCTGCATGGTTAGGTCTAATAAATATATATAAAAATTTACACCCGTGATTTCCATTTACTGGAAATTAGAACCAAAATTAAAACCTTCGAAAATAGGAACGAATATACACGAATAAATTACAGAGGCGGCGGCCAGACATCTCTCAGGTGGCCTGCGTGGCAGACTCTCTGGGTTTGGGGATCATCGCCTCCGTCTGACGTCATGTAACCAAGAGTGGGTAGTAGCGAAGTAGTTGTAGTTCGCTACTGTAGCGAACTACAATTTTCAAGTAGCCAGTAGTTTTTGACTACATTTTTAAAACAGTAGCTGTAGTTATAGCGAACTACATTTTGCCTAAAAGTAGCCAAGTAGTTGA